CTCTCTCTCTCTCTCTCTCTCTCTCTCTCCACCCACACACACACACACACACACACACACACATACACACACACATATTTATAATTTCAAATATCGGATCAGGCCAGCACGCCCAAATTTAAAGAGTAGAATGAAAGTACGATATAATTGCCGGGAACGATCTCTTTACGACTGTATTTCAAACTAAATCAAAAATGTTAAGTTTGAGTAATTTACGACACTTGCAAAACTAAAAATTATATGAGGGCCAAGATATGTTACAAGAAACAAAATACAAAAAAGAAAGAGGATAGATTAGGGCTATAGACGTTAGTCAGAAAAGAAGGAGTAAACCACACCAGAACACCCGTCAATCACCCATAAAACTGCTTCAATAGGTTAAGGAAAAATTAAGGGGGGTAAAAACACTTACACAAAGGAAACATTATTTGTTTTGGCAAGTATTTATTTACGGCACTTGCAACAAAATAAGGCCATATAAGAGCCGAAGATTAGAGATGTTACAAGAGAGTAACAAACATAAAAAAGAAGAAGGGGAGATAAGGACGATAGTTTTCTATAGGAAAGAAGGAGCAAACCACACCAGAGCACCCGCCAACCACCCACAAAAAAGAAGGAGGAGAGATAAGGACGATAGAAGTTTGATAGGAAAGAAAGAGCACCCGCCAACCACCCACAGGAAACATAAAGAAGCCAGGTAAAGTTGACTGCAGAACTGACAACTGACACAAACACAGAAGCACACCGCAGTGATAAGAGCTTTTCAACCAAGTCCAAACTCAAACAAATAAACACACAGGCAAACTAGTGACAGAGAGAGAGGTAGAGAGAGAGAGAGAGAGAGAGAGAGAGAGAGAGAGAGAGAGAGAGAGAGAAAACACACAAAGACTTTTCCTAAAATCCTTGAAGGGCGCGTGATCACTAAACAAGCGCGCAAACAAGCACGCATACATTCATCAAAACTAGCCCAGACCAAGGCGCAAACAGCATCCTTTGTGATTACCTCCAAAGGGGCAATTATCCTGTAACGCCTTAAGTGATCCATGACTCTGAAGGTTCAATATTTCAATACGGCTATTCTCAAAACAGGTATCGTTTCTCAAAACGCATCAAGGGCTTCCTTTCTTCTGCTATTGAATATACGTCACAAGGCTGCCCGCCGCGCGGAGGGATATTTTTTCTTCGGATCCAATCACAAACCATTGAAATCATTACGATGACGTTTCACCATTAAGACCGAGTGCTCGAAGATGGTAATGAGCAATTTCTCTCATTCCTCTGTCTTGAGAACCACTGAAAAATGGCGGGGTCTGCTCCGGAAAAAATAACGGCCGTGAAAAGCGCGTAAATGGACGCGGAAAGGAATTTTTGACACTTTTTCCGATACGTCACGGCAAAGAGAGAAATAAACGGGTAAAAGATCCGTCAACTATGGTGCGACCCGGTTCGGAACACAGCCCGATAAAAGGCATCGAAACAGACATTGTGGGGGTGGAGTATTATTGAGTTCTGTCTCAGGGCTGAAACATTGAAATTTTGGATGCTTTTCTAGGGTGCTTTGGAGGACTATGGTAATAGGAAAGCAAAGTAAACTTTATAAGACTTGGGTGGGATTTGAAAGAAATACGAGAGAGTAAAACAAGAAGACAGCCTAAGAATTAACCCCAAAACATTTGCTATAATAGACATTGTTTTTCCAGTAAGATACTCGGTGATTTCAATGTTTGTAATTCTTCTCTCCCTTTGTTTTCTCCATTTTTCTCTCAATCTCAGTCATTTTCAGTCTTTCATCTCTCTCTCTCTCTCTCTCTCTCTCTCTCTCTCTCTCTCTCTCTCTCTCTC